ACACACACACACACACACACACACACACACACACACACACACACACACACACACAAACACACTATTTTTGTTAATAGAATATAAAGAATATCCAAACTTAAGAGATCCTGTCACCACCTGCTACACTGCAAACTAAAACCAAACAACCAGAAAATATATGAGTGGCAATCTTACTGCACAAATGACACTTTCAAGAGTTTAAATAGAGAGCCTCGTGGACCGCTTGCAGCACCCCTTTCCCTGACCCCTACATTATCAGAAGTTGGGTAGTGGCCCAGAAGGCTCTCTATTCGATACTCCTGGAAGTGTTGATTTTACAGACGGATTGCTACCCTGAAATCTGTGCTTAGCAAAGTCAAATCATGGTAGAAGGCAGGGTTTTTGTAAAGAAAATGCGAGAGAAGAGAAACATAGAGGCTGCCACTCCTTCTGAAAATGCTAGCTGCCTGCCTGTCTTCCTGACACTCAGCATTTCAACTAGTCTTGCAGAACAAATGTGCGTATGTGTATCGTACGATAATCGCGGGTGATTGTACGATAATCGGCAGGTGTATGAAAGGCGTGTGACCGTTTCTACTGTACGGTCGCACGTCTTTTGTCTTCCGAGCATGCTTGAAAACCTGCCGAAAATCGTAAGATTTTCGGCGGGTTAGTGGTGCGCTCGGAAGACAAATGCTGAATGGGCCGGTGTGCGCAAGCACACACTGCCTGCTCAGCATTGGAATCATCACAAGCCCTCCCCTTAGCAGAGAGGGCTTGCGATGATTGCAAGTACCATCTGCCTGTCCCAGATAGGCAGATCGTACGAGATTTTAATTACCTTACAACCAACGCACATTTTGACCATTTGTCCACTTACAATAAAAGCATTAGCATGGCATCTAATGAAATACTGCACCAAATGAAATGCATATATTCAAAGAAAATATAAAAATGATTTAAGTAGGCAAATTACTTATATAGTCATTGGAAAGTTAACCAATGCATATAGATGATGCCACATTTGGTCTGGACAGCTAGGCTTTAATGACCTTTGGTTCTAAAGAGTTAAACAGCTTATTTTTTTTATAATTATGAATATTGGATTGCATCTGTAAAAATGAACAATAAAATTGGCCAAGGAATTACAATGAGATGGTTTCTTTGATCAGATTTGGATCTTTTGGGGTTGAATTACTAAAGGCAGATAGACTGTTTACTTTGCAAGGGAATTTGCACTTTTCCAGGGAATGTTCCTTTAGCTTAGTGAATGAGGTGAAGCTCTGCTGACTTCCATCATCCAATCATGTGCAAGCAAAAAAACATTTTTTTGTGCATGAGTTAGTATTGTTTTTAAAGAGAAATGTAATCACATTTGTCCTTGGCGACCAGTGGAGGGGAGGGGTCACAGGAGAGAGTTCCTGCAGAGACGTGTATCGGCTCCGCCTCCGCTTGGCTTTCAGTCATTGCCAATGACAGGCAGCTGCAGCTACCTCACTTCATTCACCAAGCTAAGGGAAAATTCCTCTTCAGCTGTGTCTGCATGCGGGTGCACACGACCATAGACTTACATTGCGTCTCTGCACACATTTGTGACTCCAAGTACTAGTGGTATAATCATTTGCAAATTTAAAAATTGCTACTTTAAAATGTATCTAAATCAACTGGATTGATGTAGATAGATAGATAGATAGATAGATCTATCTATCTATATAACACACAGACACTAAAAAGTCTTCACATCCCTGTACAAATGGCAGGTTTTTGAGATGCAAAACAATTAGACAAAAATAAATCACTTCTGATTTTTCCACCTTTTAATATGTCCTATAAACTGTACAATTTAATTAAAAGCAAACAAATCTTTAAAGGGGAAAAAGTAAAAATAAGAAACTTACAATAATGTGGTTGCATAAATATGCACACCCTTAAACTAATACTGTGTTGAAGCACCTTTTGATTTTATGACAGCATCCACGGGGTAGGAGTCTATTAGCATGGCACATCTTGCCTTGGGAATCTTTGCCCACTCTTACTTGCAAAATTGCTGCAAATCTGTCAGATTGTGAGGGCTACTTCTATGCACAACCATCAGGTCAGGTCAGCCCACAGATTTGCAATTTAACTCTGGTCCGGGCTCTGGCTGGGCCATTCCAAAACTTCTGGTAAAGCCATTTTGTTGTTGATTTGGAGGTATACTTTGGGTCGTTGTCATGCTGAAAGGTTCAATTAATCTTCACCTTTTTAACAGAGGCCTGAAGGTTTTGTGATGAAATTGACTATTTGGAGCTGTTCATGAGTCTTTCCACCTTGCAGAAAGCACCAGTTCCAACTGAAGAAAAACAACCCCAAAGCATAATGCTTCCACCACACTTCGCAGATGGTATTGTGTTCTTTTGGTGATGTGAGGTAAGCTATGGACCTGCACTGGCGGATTGTCTCTGTTGTGGCAGGCACTCTTCACCTGAGTGGTACACTATACAAAACCAGACTTTAAAGCAACCCTGTAATTATTTTAAATCTCTAAAAAGCAAACACCCTGCAAGTAGAAGAATGTAATTACTCACCCTTCCACAGCTCCATTCAGTAGAATAGTCAGCTAATGTCCACTTGTATACCAACAGCTCTAGGAGCGTCAAACTTCTGGGTCCCCCGCAGCTCTCATAAGTTGCTCCTGCTGACCTCAAAGTCACAACAGGATACAATAGTAACGCATTTATAAAGGAGTGTAATATAGATCTTATCAAACACCTCCATTTTTTCAATGCCATTCTTTTTGCTTATTTAAAATAAGCCCACACCCATATTTCCAACGTATTGCAACTATTTATAAATAGGTTAAAACAAATTTTAATGTGTTTGGCCTTGATTTTACTGTTTTTTTTTATCTGTTAAAGTGTCACTAAACTCAGGAGCTAAATCTTAAAAATGTGTTGAGATAAGTACCTTATCTCAATACAATCTCAACACAAATGTGAGATTGTAGTCCATCATGGAGCCAGCTTGGAGCGGTGGCTACTTTACAACGCACAAAGGGACCACAGGGAACAAAAGTGGTCACCCTCCAGAAAGAAGGACAGTGTCAGCACCAATTCAGAGATGATTTGAGGAGCTACAGCTGAGTGATACACAAATAAGATACATTCTTGTTAATAGTTGAGGTACTTGAATGCATTTTTAAGATTTAACTCCTGAGTTTAGTGTCACTTTAAGCGATAATTTTACTATTTTGCATTATTGGGTTAATTTCTCAGCTAACAATTTAGAGCTAAAGAAAGGAACAAAACTGGTCTGTAAAATACAGCAATACCTGCAAAATCTATACAACTAAAGTCTGATTTTCTTTTTTATAAACAACCCTCAAAGTCTAGTCAAAGAAAAAAGAAGCTCTGACATAATGCTACAGATTACTATCCAAAAATAAATTTAGATTTTATAATCAATATAGCACAAACATGCAAATAAAATGATATTCTGTGATTTTGGCATTATAAAATTACCATAAACTGTATGGCAGTGTTCATTGTGATGTTGATCTTTGATGGGACATAAGAACATTAATAGACCCTGGTACCCAGAACCCGTGATTTGGGTCTTCTACTGAGTACACCAGGTGGGCTTTGCAGAAACTGTTGCCATCTGCCACAGTATAACAAACTTACTTCAGTCTTTGGTTAGCATTGGTCCTGAGATTTTAGCATCTTGTACATCTATTCTCACACCTCCACTAGTAACTGCATATTTCTTTTTTTTAAATAAAATTATGTCAGTTTATTTAAAAATACGGTATATATATATATATATATATATATATATATATATACACACATATGCAGTATCATATTTACTGTTCCCAGCCAGCACATATTTGCCAGGCTAATGTTAATCACTTTGCTGAAAGAATTCTGTTGTTTATAGAACCAAATAGCTAAAGATCCAACTACACAGCTGAATGAGTAGTGGCTTCCTACCCTCTTGTTCTTTTCTAATGGGCTCTATGAATTTCCACATCTGCTGCTGGGCTATCGCTTCAGAAAAAACAGCATACTTTGCACAATCAGTATCATGGTGCTCTCTGGCTATTTTTTAAGTGTATTTCCACTATTGCAGTCAAATTTGAGAAAAGCCCTATATATGTGCATTATGTGTTCCTAATCAAACAGCATACTGGAAAATAATTTAAAAAAATAAATTCTTACAGACAAGATGGCTGATTCCAGGTTTTTCTTAGCCCTTTGACAGTGGTCTGTCCCAATGGAAAGTCTTGGGACTGAAATTTGAGGACTGTGTTTATCTGCTAAGCCTCATTAACATGCAATGGTCTAACCACCTTAGACCCCTCACAGCCCCTTCTAATATTTTAAAAAATAGAAGCTAGAAGAAATTCTAACCCTTAAAGCCCTAACCCAAGTAAAAACATTTTAAACTGCAAGAAGCATTTTTTTTTTAGCTTATGCTATGTGAATAGGAACATGTAACAAATAAAAAATAGGTGTTATCCCAATTTGGTGGAAATACGCTTTAAGGTATAGAATAAAAATGAAATGCATTCCATTAACAAAAGAAAGATATTTTAACCCTTAAAACCCTCACTCAAGTAAAAACTATTTAAACTGCAAGAAGTATTTTTTTATTTTCTTTATTTTTTTAAGCTTATGCTATGTGAATGGGAACATGTAGCAAATATCAAATAGGTGTTATCCCAATTTGGCTGCAAAAGTGTAAATAAACTTTAAGGTATAAAATAAAAATGATAGGCAAAAAAAAGAAGAAAACTAACAAAAATGAAACTAAGAAAAATATTATAAAACTGACCAAAGCATTGTTCTAGTTAGATGGTTAGATATCTAATGAATTGGGGCCATGTATTATCCATTAGAAGCATTATGCCACAGTCATAACTAGAGTGTTACAAATTGTCTCTCCAGATGTGGCATATTAGTCCATGAGGTTCATTCTTTTGCCTTTAAAATATAAAACAACTGAAACTTTAACTAAAGAGGAACACATTTTATTTACACAAGTTCCAGTATAACTCTTTGCCTTATACAATAATATTCATGGCACACTGTAATATAAAACCACATGTCCAAAACTGTCAGTAATCTTAGCAAATCATTTTAAAGCTGTTCACAATTTAAAAAAAAAATGGGTAGCACAGTGGCTTAGCAGTTATGACTTGCTGCTCTTGGGTCCTTGGTTTGAATCGCAGCCTGGACGCTATCTGCATGTAGTTTGCATGTCCTATTTTCTCCCATTATCTCCCACACTCCAAAGACATGGCTCCTATCTAAATCGACTCTGTATATATGCATGTATGATAGGGACCTTAGATTGTAAGCTCCTGGAGGGCATGGACTGATGTGTATGTACAGCATGTAAAGTGTTGCGCTGTATAAATACCTGTAATAAATAAATAATAACATCTATTGTAGTAAAGTACGTACCCCTAGCCACCAATGAAAAAAGTAAAACTGATGTTCAGTAGTCTGAAACATTTTTAATAAAGGCTTGCAATGTCCACAATAGTGAAATTAAAATCAAAGTAATAAACATGTAACTTACAAAATACTGCTGTGTAAAACCCCAAATATAGGAAATGTTCTTTTGGAAAAAAAGAAAAGGTATTTCACAATTCCCGCCAATGAAAGGGTTACTAGAGAGCATAGCAAAAAATGTACAAAGCCATCTTAATATGACACCTTATCTTATGTCATCATTCACAATTGTTATAAAAGGATAATTCAGCCTCTAGCAGATGACAACGTGCCAGTCTGCGTGAGCATGTGCAACCGATACAGACGAGGAGTTATCATGCATCACTAATGAGGAAATCTCAGCCAAAGAAGTTGCTAGCAATTTTTCTACAGCCCCCAGAGCCACTGAAGTTTAGACAGCTATGTTTTGTACTCTCAGCCTTGAAATGATAGTAACCTGCATCCAATGAACAATCTAAAGAGCCTCCAAAGACACTTATTTCTAAGATGCCATAATAGTAAAGTCAGTTATTTGGATGCAGCTCTGGATCCGAAGTTACACTGAGATGAACATTGTGGGAAGTCACCAATTGATGAAACCTGGGAACGTTTTCTTTTTGTGTACATTTCTTTTCTCTGTTCTAGGTAAGTCATTACTTTAGCCAACACTTGCTTTATGTCGCTTATTATACTACTATCTGCTGAATATTTTGATGTGATTATATATACTGTATGTGATGATATATATATATATATATATATATATACACACACACATCTACAGTCAGTATATCAGATGTGTGTTTTTTTATAATGTTGTATAATCCACATTTGGGTTATGAGCGATGCTTCTCTCAGATGCTGATGGTGCCAATAATTTTGTTGTTAGTGTATCTGTCTTCTGCTCTGTGTGTGCCAACATTTTTTGAAAATATCCATACAGTGGTTTCAATAGTTTTTGGTAAGAAGCATTTATTCATATAAATAAGTTAACTTATTATCATATAAATGCACTGTTAAGCAGATATGCTTTTCTTTGCTGTTTACTTTCCAGGGTTTCTATCATCATCTTCTGGTTTAAAACCAAGAACATCCATGTAAGTTAAGATCATTGTTGAATCTCTAATTTGCTGTATTTCTTAGTTTAATACATATCTATTTATCTGTATTATCTATTTATCTGTATTATCTATCTATCTATCTATCTTGTTTCTTTCTATTATATAAATATATATATATATATATATTTATGATTTTGTCATATTGAAAAAAGTTATTTGCAGCTCTACTATAGAAGATAAGTATTTGGATAATGTAATTACAAATAATATGGTCCCCGATTTACTTAGGTATTACGTTAGCAGTATAACTCATTTATGTGGGGATGACTCAAACCATTCCTAGAACTGATAACAGACTAGCCGCTTCATACAGTCCTATCTTTTATCTTTAATTTCCCTTGGGACAGCAGATAAGCCCCATTAGGTGCATTCAATACAAGTCCTCAGCAAAGAAGCCCTGCGGAGCATTTGAGGACAATGGAAATAACTACTAATTACAGGTGTCACAGTGTTATGTGTCGGTGCCCTATACATATATATAGCTGTGTTATTTAACCAATAACATTTGACCAAATACAGGTGAAACTCGAATAATTAGAATATCGTGCAAAGTTCATTTATTTCACTAATGCAACTTAAAAGGTGAAACTAATATATGAGATAGACTCATTACATGCAAAGCAAGATAGTTCAAGCCGTGATTTGTCATAATTGTGATGATTATGGCTTACAGCTCATGAAAACCCCAAGAACCCCAAATCCACAATCTCAAAAAAGTAGAATATTACATGCAATCAATAAAACAAGGATTGTACATAGAACAATATCGGACCTCTGAAAAGTATAAGCATGCATATGTACCCAGTACTTGGTTTGGGCCCCTTTTGCAGCAATTACTGCAATTACTTTTGCATGATATTCTAATTATTCGAGTTTCACCTGTATGTGGTGTATACGTTTTTTAGTTTTAATATGTAAAATTGGAATGGTATTAAAATAACAACAGTATTATACACCTGCATATTATGCCAATTGTAATTTTAAAGAGTGCTGCTTTTTTGTTGAGAGTACAGTACATCCTTGTGTGCTTGAATATTACATCCCTAAGCTCACAAAATACAAGCAGACAGAGAACACAGTGGCAAAGTCTACTTAGAAATAAGTAGAAACTAATTTAGCCTAAATCAAAAAATGCAGGTTCCTTTCCAAAGGCAAGGAGTTCATTCTCAGATGCACAGATCTGTGAAGCTCTCGTCAATTGTGTAAGCTGAGATCATTCGCATACAAGTTACCTTTTAAATGTTAACCCAAGAAAGGCCTCTTTGATAGGTGATGGAAATCAGAAAAAAAAACCCTTTCCCCTAGGAATAGTGTATTCAGGTTGCTCCTGGACCTTTGAAAATACAAGATGCTTTTTGTTTTCTTCCAGAAACAGGTTTAATGCGATTCGCCAGAAAAGAGATCTCTTAGCAGCAGAGGTAGGTTATACCTTCGAGAGAGAAACTTGCCTCTGAAATGAGTCTTATTTGACAATGAGGTCTTTGTGACATGAGAGTAAATGGTAAAAGCGCGGGTAGGATCAATCCCTCTTGTGATACCTACTTTCCTGTGATTCTTTAGCTTCTGCCTGTCTCACTTATCACATTTTCCTGAACGCATCTCATTCTCACACAGAACCTGTATCATCAAAAAGAGAGATAGATATTGCTTTTTATTTCATGATGAACTTTAAGTCCCCTTTCCAACATACGCAACATCACACTAATGTGTTACATGCAGAGAGATTGTGACATTTAGGTTTATTTAATAAGCGCAGTGAAGCCTGAACATGTGCCAAGTCGACTACTAAAAGATCAGATATTGCCTTTCATCAGTCTAAAGCACGCAACACAATGAGAGATGATGGCTGACTGTTTGCTAAGGGTAACTGTGCTTTAGATACTGCTCTATGGCATATAAAATAACCCTGATTCTTTTATACTTTTTACATTTTTAACATTTAATCCGTCTTTCATACAATCTGATTTTATCACTGAAATCTAAATACGTGATAAAATGTGATCTCCTTCTGTCATTAGCAAAAGATATAGGGGCTGATTTACTAAAGTCAAATAGGGAAAGGGAATTTGCACTTTGCAGGAGAATTTTCCCTTAGCTTAGAGAATGAGGTGAAGCTCTTCTAACTTCCATCATTCAATCATGTGCATGCAAATATACTAATTATTAACATTATTATTATGTTCCTTGCACATGTTTGGATATTCTTTGCAATGTGAATTTGCGCCATGTTTTCAAAGCTAAGGGAAAATTCAGTTGCAAAGTGAACAGCTTATTTCTCTTTAGTAGATCATTACATTAAAATGTAAAAACAAAAAACAAAATCATACTAAACTGTCTTTCTCTGTCAGTCAAAACTGTGGGAAAACTGACTGTTTGTCTCCGTTTGCTTTTAGACAGAAAAAAATGTCTGAGGTTTTTTTTTTTTTTTGTGCTTTACAAAAAGTACTTCAATTAAATAGGCTATAAAATAACCCTGATTCTTTTATACTTTTTACATTTTTAACATTTAATCCGTCTTTCATACAATCTGATTTTATCACTGAAATCTAAATACGTGATAAAATGTGATCTCCTTCTGTCATTAGCAAAAGATATAGGGGCTGATTTACTAAAGTCAAATAGGGAAAGGGAATTTGCACTTTGCAGGAGAATTTTCCCTTAGCTTAGAGAATGAGGTGAAGCTCTTCTAACTTCCATCATTCAATCATGTGCATGCAAATATACTAATTATTAACATTATTATTATGTTCCTTGCACATGTTTGGATATTCTTTGCAATGTGAATTTGCGCCATGTTTTCAAAGCTAAGGGAAAATTCAGTTGCAAAGTGAACAGCTTATTTCTCTTTAGTAGATCATTACATTAAAATGTAAAAACAAAAAACAAAATCATACTAAACTGTCTTTCTCTGTCAGTCAAAACTGTGGGAAAACTGACTGTTTGTCTCCGTTTGCTTTTAGACAGAAAAAAATGTCTGAGGTTTTTTTTTTTTTTTGTGCTATACAAAAAGTACTTCAATTAAATAGGCATAATCATTTTTTTTTGTTTTAATTATTTTTTTTATTTTTTTTGTAAGGCATTTAGGTAGTTTGCATGTTATTTATGTAATGTGCTACTACATGCTACAGTTATTGGACTATTGGTGACTACTTACAGTCAAACTGCATTTTTTAAATAGTTTGTTGAACGTTAAAACCTCTGTCAGATTTTTATTGTGGTCTTTCTCTCTGTTGTATAAGATTAGCCTCACTTCCTGTCCCAGTGACAGTAGTCAAGTTGAGGTTGAAAGGGCTAGCAGCTTTGTCAGGCTTTCACTGTTGTCTGAACTAGTGTTGAGGAGATTTCCCTTTATTTCCTGTCCAAGTGACAGTCATCAGCTGGACAGAATTTCCCCACTCTACCAAAACTATACAAAAAAAAAAAGAAAAAAGGTTTTGACTGGAATTACCATTCACATAATATCAAGCTTCACAATGAACTTTGTTTTGTAGGCATGATATTTAATTTTTCTGTGAATAAAATAATAGCAGCAGGCACTCCTTTACTGTTGCTGTAGTCATTCATTGCTGGATGTATTAGGTACTGGGTGTATTAGTATTAGGTACTGACGCAAGAATCTGTTTATTATTTTTGGTAATATATAGAGCAGTGGTTCTCAACCTGTGTAACCTCAGGACCCACATTTGTCTTTGGTCATTAAGTCACGACCCAAGTTGCACTGCAATGGAATGCACAGAATTAGGGTACTGCGTGTTCCTGTGCAGGCGTACGAGCTATGGGTGGGAGGTGCGTTTAGGGGGAACCATTCAAATGAATGGCAACCCAACACACCTCCCACACCAGAATGCATGATAAAGTGCATTAATCGCACGGTACTATGTGATTAACGCACTGTACAATTGTGAATGAGCCCCCCAAAACACTGACATACATAAACAACTACAGACACAATCTGTTGAACTATGAAGGAGCTCCATCCATATGTGCATTGAATGTACAGCTCCTTTGTGCGCCCTGTAGAGGTGTCGGGAGCCAGAATGTGATGTCACACCGGTCCAGGCACCTCTACAGGACATGTGAGGGAGCTGTAAGCAATGCACGTATGTATGGAACTCCCTCGCGACCATAGCCCCATCCCACCTCAAGCTGACACTTGGCAGCGGGCAGCATATTTTGAATGGCTGCTTGGCGTGGGAACTGACAGTCCTGCACTAGGGGGAGGCAGAGGAGCCTCTCACCTAAAAAAGTGGAAGGCATGTGGTGACCCACATGTACTCGGGGTGGCGACCCACCTTTGGCTCACGACCCACCAGTTGAGAACCAAGGATATAGAGCATATATACACTGAGTGATACGTCAGGTGGTCATAATAATCTGGCCACTCAGTGTATTTCCAGTGCTATTTTTCCAATGCTGTTTATGCCATTGCCAACTGGATTGGTTTATTTTATAATAGCGCTTTTGTTTTGAGTGTCATGAGCTTGTCTGTTGCATTTTAAATATATAAAAGCAACTTTAATATGGTTTGTTGTAGTTTTGCATTTTGTGCAATTATATTGAGAAAACTGTATGATGATTAGTAGACTGTTCAGGAATATGAGCAAGATGTGGGTAGACTGCAAACCTTGAGAAGTAATAAGTGGACTGCTATTCCCGATGTTTGCTCCCAACCCATGATTACAAATCATAAAAAGTATATATTTCTCTGCAATTTCAGACATTATACTGACTCCCTTTGGGATTTGTAAATTTTTAAGCACAGAGCTTTTATATATTCATTTTATATGCTCCTGTCCCGGTCTGGCCATAGGCTGGAACGTGACCTAATGAGAATATCAGTCAGTGAGAGCCAGAGGCGGCTCTAGAGTTTGCGAGGCCTTAGGCAAAACCTAAACATGAGGCCCCACTCAGGCCTGTGGGGTCTTACCAAGGCTCTGTGGGGTTTAACCAGGCTGGTGAGATCCCGCAGAGCACTG